AGTTCTGCTCCTATTGCCTAAATGGACCTTCATCTTCCTCCTTTCCTTGTCCCCTTTAACCTGCACGACTGGAGCTGCCCCCATGATGGGCCACTACCCCTTGGCACTCTGGGGTCTCTGGGGCTCTGTCTTTTTTTCTCCATGCTACGCGTAGGCAATAACTTTTTGCTTTTCTCCCCTGCTGGAAAACGTCACTATTTTCCCTGCCGATGAGACTCACAAGCTAGCAGTCCTATTGGACTCAGTTCCCAGACCTTCACACCCTGACTAAGATGAGTTGTCTTCTTCACCTGACCGTCTACAGTCTTCCCCTATTGATTCACTCAACAAAAGCAACCAGCTGAGCCTGGACGGGGTCTCAGCCCCTGTAACACCTTGTAATGGCGTATTGACCAAAGTTACATTACCGTTCCCATCCCTAGATGAAAATCTCGTTATCCTGCTCTGTCACTTGAATGGCACCTTCACCTCCCTTCCCTGTCTTTCACTCCCTTCCACAGAAAATACAGGTGACCTGCCTTGACTTTTCCCAACAGCACAATTTTCTCTCTGCCGGTATCAAGAGGTCAGTTTGCACCTCTTCTTGGCGCATGACGTCAGCCACCATCGCCGTCTTGGGAATGGTTCAAATGAGCCCTTGGCATACGCTCCCACGTCATATGGAACAGCTTTTGCAATGTTCTCAATGCTCCCCTCTAATCCTCCTCGCAGCTCTGCTTTGTGAAGGCACCCTTCCACACGCACACAAACACACTCAAACTCCAAAGCAAGCGGCACAGATGCGCAGCGACCACTGCCAGTACCTTCTCTAGAAGGATTGCACTCTCCTCTTGCCCTTTCTGACTGTACTCTCCTATATTTTTCCCGCCTTTATCTGCAAGTTCTCTGGGCTGGTCCCTTGACCAATTCCCTTTCCTTAGCGTTTCTACCGCATCCAGCCACGGGGGTTTGGGAAGAGCTCTCCACCCGCTGTAACGCTGCAAACAAGCAAGTACAGTTGGAGTACGGGTACACAGCAGGTGTTTCAGGCGCAACATGAAAACAGAGACAAATCACCTTCAGGAACTACATTCCTCCAACCATTCACTGCAAAAAAAATATTTTCTTCCAAGTAAGTAGCTTTAGTGGGCTTTGCAATAACTTCAGTGCTATACAACTTTGTGTTTACGAGAAAACTTGCCTCCTGAGCACTTGGCAGAAACCAGCAGCGGTGGCACTACAAAAACACAAGTGAGAAGATGGGTATTTCCTAGGAGAAAAAGATTCCCCTATTCAAGACTGGAAACGAGATGGGAAGAGGCTGAAACACGCTTGGATTCCCAGTGCAGGGCAGTTTTCACTCCAGTGCACAAGACTATTTGAGATGGATACAGGAGACGGACACACAAACAAGAGCTGAGGCCCAGGACACGAGCAAAAACCTGCGAAGAGACCTCGCGAAGAGGCAGCAGATGGAGAAACTCCAAGGAAAGGTGAATGTGCTAATAAGGTCACGTCAGGTGACGCTACGTGTGCACGAAGAAGCCTTCTCCCTCCTCTGGCACCTTGGCAAGAAGACTGAGCAGAGAGGAGAGCAGCACGAACGAAATCCTGACGGAGGGGGAGCACAGCGTCAGCTGGCTGAGGGCAGCGGCCACGGAACGGGACCAGCAAACAGGGCTGCAGATAGAGCTGAGCAACAGTGAGCGATAAACCCCGACGCCAAGATGCGGGCAGCAAACTACATCAGAAAATAAACCACAAATGAGCTGATTGGTGCTATTTGTTTGTCCTGAGGAAAGCCATTTTGTCAGATACATTACAAAAAGGGAAGGAAGTTGCAATTCAGCTAGCAGAGGCAGCAGAGAGAGGCTTCAAGGACAGTAAGACACTGTTTGCATCCTTAGGTGAGGCCCCGTGACAGGAGGACAGAGGCAGTTCATAACTACTGATGTTGTACATCACCCTAGGGCTGCACAGCAAAAGCCGGCCTCGGAGGCAGGATGCAGGTCATTAACTTAACAAGGGAGCCGCTTCCTCGCGACAGCCCAGAGCGATGCTGGAACAAAATCTGCCAGGGATTTCATCTGCTGAGGTTACACAAGGCTCAGGGAGTAACGGTACAACAGCAAATCCCGGAAAAGCTATAGGAGAGATGACAGCGGGCACCACCACCCTGCACGGGAATAACTAGCAACAGCTCAATACACCAGGCTTAAAGCATGGAGGGAGCAGCAATGAGAGGAGTCAAACGGGATTAGGAAAAGTCTGAATACACCAAAACTCTTTCCCTGGGCAGGCTGTTCCAGTGCTCTGTCACCCTCAGCGGGAAGAAGTTCTTCCTCATGTTCAGACGGAAAATGTTTCAGTGTCCCCTTGGTCACTAACAGTTTAAATTCTTCATACGGATGCTGCCGGGAAGGAACAACAGCCACACCCAGCAGCAGAACAGCAAGGGCACCCAGTGCCCTTCCACCCTAACATTTTGCTGACCCACCCTTTCGCAGAGCCACAGGAGCCTTCCCGACCAGCAAGGATACCGCAGTCGGCAGCTCTGACGCCATGGCTCTCTGCTGACACCCAAGTTAAACGCTCTGCTTTCTAACACAGTGCTAACTACCAGGGCCGGTCAGCTTAAAAACACGATCTGCTTTCTCCAGAACCATTCAGCTGGCCCATGAAACAGCACATATTCCAAAATAACTCCACCACCTTTCGCTCACATCAAGGATAAAAGCAGTTTAAAGGTTTCTTGGCCTCCTCTCCACTTTGGTTCATAAACACGAACCCACATTGTGTTAACATTCATCGTGCAGACACACAAACATCAGATACCATCAGATCCCTCCACCTCCCAGCCAACACAGAGCCCTCTCTGCTTTAAAGACGCCCCGTGCGAGTGCCCTCCACCTGAAGGCAGGACACGGGGTCCCGAACGGCCAGCTCCAAGAGCAGGTAACAGCGACCGGAGGGCTGGGCTGTGCTCTGTTTCAGGTGCTTTCCCATGAAAAGGAGACCCCCTTTTTAGAACGGGCTGCTGGTCCTGCCACACCACCCAACATCTCCATTGCTACCACAAGGTCAGCTTCAGCCGAGCAGAGCCCGTGTAGCTGCTCACACCTGTTGATGCGAGAGGGTGAAAAATATAATCATCTGCAGATGCTGGAGGGTAAAGGGTTCCCAAGACCTGACTATCCGTGATAAGAAAAATGGAGAATTCAAAATCAGAGTATTCATCCAGTCAACCTCTTCTTCAAAACCGTTTCAGCACCATTTTTTCGCCCTCGTCAGGGGAGCCATGACGTGTATATCTAGTGCAGCAGGCTAGACGCACGCATCACGGAAAGAGCCGCAAGTCGCAGCAAGAGGGAAGTTGCACAACAACAACAGAGAGTCTTCCAAAGGACAACTCAACCACAGAAGAGTCCCGCGCTTGCCAAGGAACCAGATCTCACTCTGTTCACCAGAAGACGAGGTAGATTCTTTCTGTTAACGGATTCTGCTGCCCAGAAGCAGCGACTCAAACGGTATCTCCTTCCTAGCCAAACATTCCTGACCCAGGGGTTCTCCCAGATGTAGGAAATCAGCCGCTGCCAACACCACGCACAGCCAGGGTCGCCCGACGGCTGCTCCCATGCCACAGGTCTCTGATGGATGACCATGCACTTGCTACAACGGTTAGCAAGAGCAGATGAGGAGAGGGGAATAAGAAAGAAAACAGCAGTAAGTCAGACGACGAGGCACTAAATCAGTTACAGGATATGGCGAAAGAGTTTACCCACGGTTTTAGTCAGAGCACAGAGAAAAGCCCCATCCATATGAAGAACAGAGGGCTCACAGAGTTCACAAGCACTTGTAATTCTGTAAGACTGTCAGGTCTTACAGATAACTTGAGAAACAATAAATAAAAAACCACAGCACCAGTAAGCGACGCCAGAACAAACGCTATCCAAAGGAGCAGAATCAGATACAGACTGTTAGGCAGAAACATCTCCT